CGAGCGAAATTCAGAGATCAGGCCATCACGAAGGACATACCATCTGGTCAAGTGTGACGCGGAATGATCCATTTAAGCTGCGCGGCCAAACCGAATAGATAAATTTTTCCCTAAATTGGTAATATTGTTATGCTTGTTTGAAGTTTGATCTCCATATGTCCAATTAGTGTTTATTTGGCAGCTTTTTTACGAYGCGAAACGTTTGCTGTGTGATTTTTACTACAGAAAACAATTGAAGTTTCTTGAAGTTTTATATCACCTTTGAAAAGACTACTATAGCACGAAAATAATTATTTGAGTGCCACGAAGAATTCAATAAATGCCGAGAAGTTATGAAGTCTTGCCTTCTGTGAGTCGTCCCGTTAGCTCTGTTAATGACGGTAGTATCAAAAATGTTAAGGAAAAAGTGCTTGAACATCGCCATGTGGGCTCTCTCTGCGCTGTCTCTTATACACATCTAGATGTGTATAAGAGACAGCTTTCTATGTGTCGACTCAACACATTTTGGTAAATGTAAGAAGACACTTAAGTCTTTTGAAAAACAAAATCGGAAAAGAAATGTTTGCTTTGAAAAAAGAAGGTATACTACTCTTATAAAGGATTGGATTGCGACCCTCAAAACCTGTCCGGCGTTGCATTTAGGCTTCTTCCAAGTATGGTTCAGTAAACAATCGTGCTTAAAACTGCCGAATTCTTTATGACCAATTTCTCATTCATAAAGCCATTACACATTTAAATAGCATTTAAATGAATTGTGCTGCCACTTTGGTAAGCTCCTTCATCAAATAAATTAACTAAATGTAAAGCATATGAAATATAAAGTATAATTGCAAATGCTGGCTGTGAGTTCGCTGTAATATTGATTTGATTAGTGGGAATAATATTCAAATTTCKGTGACTTGTCGTGCCTGAGACGACGGCACAATACACAAGAGGTGGCAAATCAATGGAAAAGTTCAAGGCAACAGCGTGTTTGTGAATTTGGTGAATCGCTCGCAAGGCACCCAATTGTACACAGAGAGACAACAAGCAGSCAAACAAGCGTGACGTCCAATAAAATCGACGCTATCGAGCTAGTATGTAAATCAACATTAMGGTAGCAGCAGCGACGTCAAGGCAATTGTTGGTGCCATATGCCACATGCCACAAGCCACAGAATACGAYTTCGCATATGCGCATTGTTTTGTCAATAATTTGTTGCAGTTCAGTTCATTTGAGATGCTTGCTTTTATTGTTTTTGCTTACGCGCACTGCCATTTCGCATCTTTTTACCCCTTTAGCGCTGTTGGRACCACATTCATTGGCAATCTGCTCTCAGCGTATTACATGAGTCGTGCTTTTTCTTCCATTTTTTGCACATTTCCAAACGGCTGGGCGCAATAAGTTCAATTGCTGGTGGCAAGCATGTGGCACCAAATAAATCGCACGAAAATGTCGAGTGACTGTGTTAAGTGGCGATTGCAGTCGATGGCTAGTAATGACCCGGCTGACTGACTCGTCGCCCGTCGTTTGATTGGTTGGCCGGGTTGACAGCCCAAAGTGCCCATGTAACTCTGCATACGTGCTTTTGTAAATGCACGAACATGTCATTTGCCACTTGCCACATGCTGCCTGCACTTGATTCCGTTTCGATTGTGTGCCATTTTGTTCTTCTTTTTGGGTGTACTTGTGCTTACTTGTGCTAGTTCAGGCGGTTGTGGCCTCCAGCGCCAGCTCTCGCCTGTGTCAGCTACTCTTCAAATGATTGCGCTTTTTGTTGTTGCATGCTCGTTTAAATATTGCACAATTTCTTGCTTGGCATTGCGCAAATCTGGCGCAGTTGGTCAATTCCATATTCCAATTTCCAACAAGCTAACGACACTTGAACGCCAAGCAGCGCTCGACTGTTCGCAACTGGTGTTGCTGCAACACGCGCCGTCCCTCGCTCGCTCAGTCGTGTCCATTGACCAAACGCTGCTGCTGCTGTTGGCAAATTTACATATGTAAATGTAATATATGCATGTCAATGTTGCCMCAAGCAGCTGAAATTGGAACCACTGTCATGAATAAATGGAATTATATACTTATTTAATACTTACAGCCATTTGCTTTGCAGACACACATTCACATACAAGCCCATACAAGTGTAAAACTGCCAATGTGCGTGTGTGCGCCTGTGTGTGTGTGCGTGTGCTTTTGACTTTTTGACCTCTGCTTTCGGACGAATTTTCAGTGAAATTGCACTTTATACCCACAGCGTGGGTCTCTGTGCTATTAGGTCATTTCGCCCATTTCACTGGGCATCTCTCGGCCCCGTGTGGTGCACTGCAAATAGCTGTTGGTTACTGGAACAAAGTCAATTATTGTTGCGTGAATATTACAAAATACCATATATATTACACTTTAGTTACCACTTTTGCACTATTACCAACAACAGCAACAATGTCATTATGGTCATTAACAAAGTTAGTCATCAGTTATCAGCAAAGACCCATCAGCCATCGACGTTCACAGCAAGAACAAGCCATTCTGTGTCTGAATATGTCAGGTACATGTACACAAACACACACACACACACATACACCCACAAGTTCCTGCGTAAATTATTCACTGTAATTTCATAAATGTTTATCACATTTCATTGAAACTGAGTGCCGCGTTGCAGCGCTCTTTACGCTGGTCTTTTTGCAATTTCCTTTAGCTTTCATATTTAATTACATTCGTGCGACCAATCGCTGTTCGATCGCATTTCACATTGACTCATTTACCGTTTCTGTCATGCATATACAAGTATTACACGTTTTCATATGCATTTCGCTGGATGGCATCTAATACAGGGTGACAACTGCCATACGCGGTTCACCTGTAATGTTATGGRAAATTAAAGCGTGAAGTCAGCAAAAAGTAGAAAAATTTATCTCATTTTAAGGGCATAAATTTTGGTAATTTGAAAAAATATCAACAACTGACCTCTTGCGTCTTATCTGGATTTTGAGAAACGATCATACGTAAGAGGTTTACAAATTCCGTAAACGCCATATATGACATSAAAATAGACTGTTCTGCGAAAGTTTCTTTGGGGTGGAGCTTTTCATGCAACAAAATTTGATCATGGATAAAAAAAAACTCTTTCATTTTATTTCGAAGTTCAAGGTTCAGATTATTGTTATTTAAAAGAGAATTTTGCAACAGCAAATGTTGTTGGAAATATCGAAAAATTTGCTTCTCTTGGGAWGAATAATATGGGAAAGTAGTTTGAATAAAGTTGAATATAATTGTTCATCTTATCCTCTCATTTTTTCTCTATGTTAGGAGCACGACGTGACAATAAGGGCTTAATGGTTTTTCTTCCTTGTACTTACAAAAAAGTATACTAGGATAAAAACAAAAATGTAAAACTTTGTCCATAATTTTAAAATTCGTAATTTATTCTTCAAAATCCATTTCTTC